ATGTGAGCAGGAGCTGGTCCCTGGTCCTGCCCTGCAGAATAGCCTTAGGGCTGCTGCCTCTGCCCCAAGCCTCTGAGGTGGTAGCCATTCCCCAAGCTCTCCTCAGCTTCCACATTTGGAGCATTAGGAGACCCCAGGGTTAGCCCTCTTTTGTCCGCCACTGGCCCATCACTGTCCAACCCCATTTGACTGTCCGTTTCCGTCTGAGATGCCCTGGCACAGCCCCCTTCCTTTTCACTTTCTCATTTCTTCCCCCTTCTCTCCAAATGGACCTTGTAGACTGGTGGTCCTGGCAGCGGGGAGAGAGGGGGCTGAATTCAGCCGTCTCCAGCTTTCAGCTGCAACGCACAGTCCAGTGCTCGAAAATTCTTCCAAACGGCCTTGCAACCTTGGACCCTGGGGAGCATTCATGCAGAACTCCAGATCTTTTCACTTCCCTGGATCCCCAAATGAAACACAACTGGGGGCCATCGATCTCAGGCACCATGAGGAACTGCCTCGGATCCAGGCCTGGGCTCGGGCTTCTTCCTCACCCTGCAACCACAGCAGACATTGAGTTTATAAGCCACTCTGGCGCTTGCTTTCACCAGGGCTGCTGGTGAGACAAACCAGAGCGGGGGACTGTTCTGCACCTGGTATCGGCTCCAATGGCGGTCAATGCCACAGGAAATGGAGTAGCTGCGAGGCCCTGGGGCTGGGCCTGTATAGATCTGCTGAGTGAGAGAGACCCTTGACAGAGGTGATGCTATAGTTAGATTTGGGAATAGCGGCCTCAGTAATTAACCACCTAAGAGCTCAGAGGGAACTTGAGCTCACCAAAGAGGCCTGTCCTGGGCTCCTGAACTCTAGAAGGCTCTGTATGAAATGGCCCCATTTACCCTCCTCTTGGGGATTCCCATAGACCTGAGGCTACAGATTTCTTCTCAATTTAATTTCCAAGTTCATCAGCTCATACTGGTCAAGTGCAAGATTGACCTAAGAAAGCATCCTCTGCTGTCAAGAAGTCAAGAAAAATATCTGGAAGGTTCCAGTAGACCTACCAATTATGTACTAGAGAGAGCTGAGGAAGGGCTCCGAGGATGGCAGGTGGGGTAGGTGAAGGATCCCACTTTGGTTTGGGATCATGCTGCCATAAGGCTGGCCCAATGGAGTATGGGCCAGGATCTCTGGGAGGCACTATAGGTAGTCCTTCTTGGAAAGGGGACCCGCTGCCTCGGAGTCTACAGTACAGAGATAACTGTTAGCAGCAGCATTAACTTTGGAGGTATGGCAGCTATGGAATCCAGCCCCCTCCCTTAAAGCAAGGCATTTCACCTTCTTAAAACAAAATAATCACCTTTACATTGGTTTTGCTTCTGGATAAATGTATGACAGTTGCAGTGGCCAAGTGTTTGCTGCTTCTCCCATGGCCGGGGACCAGTAATGGCACCACCACCACCACCATCATCATTATCACCGTTGATATCTTTATCACCACCTTCATCATCATTGACTTTGATATCATCATCATTGATTTTGATATCATCATCACCACCTTCATCATTATTGCCTTTGATATCATCATTGTCTTTGATATCATCATCATCATCATCATCATCATCGCCACCACCACCATAACCATCATCATTGGGCAGCTTGGAGCCATGTACAATCTTGAAGCAGCCATAGCCCCACAGATTCAGAATCTGCTTTTTCCCAGGTTGCTCTGGGCCTTGCATGTCTATGAAGGCTTGAGCTGGACCAACCTGCTCCTAGGGCTTTGTAGGGTGTGAGTGGTCCATGGCTTTGGTGCTTATTTACTGAACACATACTGCCTGCTGGCTCTGCCCATACTCTGGCAACACGGAACTGAGCAGGACAGAATAAAGCCTGGCTATTGTGGAACTTTCTCTCTGGTAAAAAGAGACAGACAGATAAACATGTAGAATATGAAACACATGTGCAGCTACAGACATGTCACAATGAAACTCTTTACTCCGACCAATTAAAAATGTTTCAAAGGGGGCCGGGCAGTGGTGGCGCACGCCTTTAATCCCAGCACTTGGGAGGCAGAGCCAGGCGGATCTCTGTGAGTTCGAGGCCAGCCTGGTCTCCAAAGCGAGCTCCAGGAAAGGCCCAAAGCTACACAGAGAAACCCTGTCTCGAAAAACCAAAAAAAAAAAAAAAAAAAAAAAAAAAAAAATGTTTCAAAGGGTATGTATTCATGGAGAGAAGAGACCCCAAGCTAAATGAGTTGGGGTTGTTTTGAAAGGGGAACTGGGAGACAGTGGTAAGTATGAGAGACAGCTGCAGTGTCCTTGGTAGAAGCAGCTGGGAGAGAGACTGAGAGGAGCAGAAGGACAAGAAAGAGCCATCGAGGGATGTCTATTATGCTCAGGTGTCACGAACAGCACATGCAAAGGGCCTGTGGCAGATGTGTGCTCTGTCTCTCTGCCAGGAGGTGACAGTGACTAGAATAAGGTGAGGAGAGAGAGAAGAGCCAGGATGAGGACCCGTGACTTCAGACGCCACTGGAGCTGCGGCTTTTGTGAACGAGATCCAGGGTGGCTGGATGAAGGAGAGTTGGCCACCGGCTGCCATTTAACTAACGTGCTGTCGTCACTGCAAGCCCCGGGGACAGGTGAGCCTCACCCCTGAGATTTCTGCTTAGATGTCGCTTCACCAGAACTGGGCAGTGGGCTGGGTGCAGCCGTTGGTGACTCCGGTTTCTGAAAGTTCCTGGGTGGGACTGAGGTGGGGGCTGGCTTAGAGGCATCTCCATGAGGTGGCAGGTGGCGGTTGGGGGTGGCTGCAGCTCCTCCTCCCTCAGAGAGAGAGAGAGGAGACAAAGACTAAGAGAAATCCCCGGATATTTGCGTATTTTCTAAATGTTATTTATTAAGCCAAGTCTTGATGTTTCCCAGGCTGGCCTCAGATGTTATGTGTAGCCGAGGATGGCCTGGAATTTCTGATCCTCCCGCCTCCAGCTTGAGAGGGCTGATGTCACAGGTGCGTGCCATCACGAGTACTTCACCGTTGGGGTCTGAGTGTGACTGTCAACCACAGGATCCTGTGTTTGAACACTTGTCCCTAGCTGGTGCTGTTTGGAGAGCTGTGGGACCTTCATGAGGTGGGGTCTCACTGTGAGTCACTAGGAGAGGGCCTTGGGGTTTTACAGCTCCACCCCACTTCCTGTCCCTCTTGTGCTTTCTGGCTACAGAGGCCGTGCGGCCAGCAGCCTCCTGCCTCCTGTATCCCCACCATGATGGACGGAACCTACTCAGGGCATGAGTCCATAGAAATCCTTCCCCCGCTGCTTCCTGTCAGATGTTTGGTCACAGTAACTAACAGGACACCAGGAGACTCAGAAATACAAGTGCAAGTACAGCATCTCAGCGGGGCACATTCTGAGTGCTAATGTGGGTCTCTTGTACAGGGCCACAGGGATGCTGTTGATGGGGGGGAGGGACAAGAGAACTGGGCAAGTGCCGCTCCCCACATGCTTAGCAGCACACACATTCCTTTACAAAAAATGAATCAAAAGGAACCAAGCAAAAAGGATTAAAAAGATTTTTTTTTTAAAGTTGGTAGAGAGCTTGCCCAGCATGAATGAAGTCCTGGTTTCAATATCCACTACCACATAAATCCAGGAGGGGTGGCACACACCCATGATCCCAACACTTGGGAAGTAGAGGCAGGAGGATCAGAAGTTCAAAGTGATCCTCAGCTACATAGCGAGTTTAAGGCTAGCCTGGGCTACAAGAGACCCTGCCTCAAAATGAAACAAACAAACAAACAAAAAACCAAGAAGAAAGAAAGGATGAAGGAGACTTAACACGATGAGTCTAACATGCTAGTCTTTCTTACGTTGTTTGGTTTTGTGACAAGTTCTCACTGTCTTGTCTTGAACTTAAGATCCTCCTGCCTCAGTCTCTGTGTTAAAGAGACAGGCATGTGCGGCCATTTTGACATTTGGAGCTTTATATCACTTCCCAAATTCCCAAGTAAAACTTTGGTTGGTCAACTTTGGGCAACTCAGTTGTGAGCAGGAAGTGCAGCCAGTGGGCAGCAGAGCAGTGTGTCTCTGCTGGCCAGCTGAAGAGTGGGGGAGGGAACGCTTCAGAAGCCCTAAGCAGCCAGTCACACAAGACAGCAGGGTTCCACTGGTTTTCCCCTTCAATTCCTAAGATCTATAAGAGGAAAGAATCGGAGGAAGTGGGTCATGAACCAAGTGAGACTGAGGGGAAGCTGAGGAACTAGCCAGGTGACCAAGACAGGGACAAACAAGGGTCTCTGAGTAGCTCCAGGTGACTGGAACAGAAGGGAAACAATAATAATACAAGAGGATTGTAGAAATGGGAGCAGATCACGAAGGACCTGCGCATCCCTGGCTGAATGGACAGATCACGCAGGGCCCTGCAGCTTCCCTAAGGCCAGGGCTCTGGAACAAGATGGCAGCAGCTACGAGAAGGTCACAGGCAGCTCTGGCTGCTGTCCAGGGAAGAGGCACCAGCCTGTGAGGAGGTGACAGGTAGGAAGGCAGGTTGCTGATGGCTGGCAGCCTGTGGTGACAGAGGCCTAACACTGAGTGCTGATCAAAATATGAGCCCATAATATTTGCTAATGGGTTGTTTGTGGGAGAGAGGAGAGACCCTGGAAGGAGACACCATAGACAGCTAACCCCCAAACCCAGGCAGTCTGCAAAAAAGCTTAAGTTTGTGCCCCTTCTCTCCGAGTCTCCCAGACAAGAATTTCAGGCTGCCAACTTGAAACCAGCAAGGCCCTTAGCCTCCATCTTAATCAGATCTCTCCCATCCTATTAAGCAATTTGGGGCCATTTCTAGAGAAGATTTTGTTATTTCCCCAAATCTCTGGCTGCTTCATTTAGAGTCAGTGTTTAGGCGGAATGCAATTAACACATTCCAAACCCGGTTTCCCCTGAAATCCAATCAATTCTAACTCGTTTTCCAATCACGCTGCTTTCTCTAATTGTGAGCCGCGGCCTCCGCAGAATACGGACTTAAGCCAATTATTGCGTCGCTCGTATGAAAATTGTGCGATTTGCGTCGGCGGCTCCCCACATTACTGATGAGCCTCTTCCAGCTAATGGAATAATGAAAACACAAAACAGATTTGCCGTGCTTAATAACAGGAGGAGATAATGAAGGCAAATTAAAATGAAAGCTCGGATCTGCATGGAGAACGGTAATGTGGTTTTCCCCTTTTAAATGAGCACTCCGGGTTCTTGGATGCTGGCCGTGGGAGGGGCCAGAAACTCAAAACTTTACCAGACAACAGTGTGTCTGTCACTTGGCTTGATTTGGAGATGGTGGTCCTCTGTCCCACTTCCTGGAGTAGGGCTGTCCCTCTTTACCCCATGCAGACACCCCTCTGCCACCCGTCAGAGCCACTGGGGCCGCATCAGCCGCTGGGTTCAGCTCACTTCTTTAATTCCATAACCATCTGGTGGAAGACTAGGCAGTGAAGTCATTTCTGCAAGATTCAATGTCGTTGGGGGGGGGGGCAGTCCTCAGCACCTACCTACGGGGGGCGGGGCTTTAGTCACATTCCTGTTCTCTCCATCCATCAGCCGTGCTTGCACCCCTGCACTCCACGCAGGGACACCAGAGAAGTGTGTGGATGTAGTCACAGGTCTAAGGAGGAAACTGAGCCCCCCCAGTTGTCAGTTCCAGGCACTGTGTGCTCACTGTTGTCCTAGATAGCCACCCTTGCTGAAGAAGTGCCTGGAGGTCTGGGTCCTCCTGTGCCCTGCATAAACGTGTAGCCCAGGACACATCATGGCTGCTCAGCGGACCTGGGTGTCTCCACCTACCCATTGGGTGTGAGGACATGGGGACCTGAATCTGGCTTGGCTGAGGGAGTTGGCCTGGGTCACAGAAGACCTTGATAGAGTGAGAGGCAGTGGCCTAGAGGGGAATCTCAGAGAAAGGGGGTCAGAGAGACTCAGGGAAGCGCGTGCGTGTGTGCGTGCATGCATGCGTGCATGCATGCGTGCATCATGCGTGCGCGCGCCCAGTAAGGGGTGAGCCCAGGGGCTGCCCAAGCAGAAGTGAGGATGGGTGGCCCCTTCTCTCTGTCTTCCTCCTCTCCCTGTCCCTCTCCCCCTCCTCTCCCTCCACTGCTTCCTTTCCCTCTTTCCTCTCCTCTGATCCTGCCATTGCCTCCCACCACCTCAGGCCTGCACTCTGGCTCTGAAGTTTCTCGTCTCCCAGAGCAGGCTCTCTGGAACTCCATTCCGGGGCCAACAGGAGTCACAGCAATGGTTGTGCTGAACGACAGACATAGAGAAACAGTTCTGCTGTGGTGGTGCAGCCCCGGAATCCCAACACCCCAGAGACTGAGGCAGGACTGAGTTCAAGAGCAGCCTGGGCTACACAGTGAGACGCTGCCCTCCTTCCTGAAGACGGACACAAGCTGTGGATATCTCTCTGTGTAAATAAAACACTGATTGGCCAGTAGCCAGGCAGAAAGTATAGGCGGGACAAGAGAGAAGAGAATTCTGGGAAATGGAAGGCTGAGGCAGAGAGACGCTGCCAGCCGCCACCATGACAAGCGAGATGTAAGGTACCGGTAAGCCACGAGCCACGTGGCAACTTATAGATTAATAGAAATGGGTTGATTTAAGATATCAGAACAGCTAGCAAGAAGCCTGCTGCGGCCATTCATTTTGTAAGCAATATAAGTCTCTGTGTTTACTTGGTTGGGTCTGAACGGCTGTGGGACTGGTGGGTGAGAGAGATTTGTCCTGACTGTGGGCCAGGCAGGACTGGAGAAAACTCCAGCTACAGACACACTGACAGGGAACTGTCTGAGCTGATGCTCCCAGCCACCATCCCAACAGCTGTCGTTCTTATCCTAGTAGCCCAGGCAGATAGCCCATCGCCAGGGGTCAGAATGAATAGAAGTCTCTCTCGCCTTAGAAACCACAGAGAGAAAGAGAGGGGAAGGGAAGTCGCCAGTCACTTCTGCTGATGATGGATGTGTGCCCTGTGCTGTGCCCTGCACCTTATGTGAGCTTCACCGCAGGTTTTTTTGTTGTTGTTGTTTTAAATCTCCACAAATATGAAAGCACAGAGAGGTCAGGCCACTCTTCAGATGTGCACAGCTAATAAATGACAGCGTTGGGATCTGAGCCCGTGGAGACAGGCTCCGTAGTCTTCGTCTTGACAGCTGTCCCTCCGAGCTGATGGCTGCACAGTGCATCTGGGGAGTTTAAGGCATGGCCGAAGGGGAACTCCCCATCCTACTAGAGATTTGGTACTTTAAACATGGCACAAAAGATTAGGGATTCAAACCAGAGAGCGCTGTGTAGGGACCAAGTCTCTCAATAACTAGGGCACATCAGTCACCATGACCACACTGGCTGAGAGGTACAAATTTTTTTTTTCAAAACAGTATTTCTCTGTGTAGCTTTGGAGTCTGTCCTGGAACTTGCTCTCTAGACCAGGCTGGCTTCGAACTCACAGAGATTCACCTGCCTCTACCTCCCAAGTGCTGGGATTAAAGGCGTGTGCCACCACCATCCATCCAGCAGAGAGGTACAAATTAAAGAAGAGAAGATTTGAGAAGGCTGGAGAGATGGCTCAGTGGTTAAGACCACTGACTGTTCTTCCAGAGGATTAGAATTCAATTCCCAGCACCCACATGGCAGCTCACAACTGTCTGTAACTTTGATTCCAGGGCATCTGACACCCTCACACAGACATACATGCAGGCAAAACACCAATGCACATGACATTAAAAAAAAAAAAGAAGATTTATTTTGGCTCTCGGCTTCGGAGGCTATCAGTCCATCATGGCGAGGAAGGCATGATGAGCTGGTCAGTGCGTGGCTGCGGGCGTGTGTGGTGGAGGCTGTTCACATCACAGTGGACAATGGAGCAGTGCAGAGAGAGCCACAGGACAGGGAGAGCCTTTGACAGGTGGCTCTGCCATCCCATCCCCACATCCTAAGGGCTCCACAGCCTCCCAAATCAGTGCCACCAGCTGGGGACAAGCGTGTAAAACAAGGGCTTGTGGGGACACTGAAGATGCAGATCACAACACAGGACGAGAACTGGGAGGTGCACCTTGTACCCCAAGACTCTTGCTACCCCAAGCCCAGGGTATTTGCAGGGACTTTGGTGGGGCCTTAAGATGGTCTGGGCTTGACTTTTCTATGGCTCACTGGCTTGGTGTGTGGCTCGGAGACCCAAGAAAAACAACAATAAAAAACCTGAAACGTTTGAGTTACCGAGCAAGAATAATTCATAAACAGTATGTGGTCAGTAAGGGAAACCCCCAGCACAGATGCCAGCACACAGTAGGCACGGCTGCTGGCCAGGGGCTAGCACACGGTAGGCTGCTGGCCAGGGGCTAGCCCACGGTAGGCACGGCTGCTGGCCAAGGGCTAGCCCACAGTAGGCACGGCTGCTGGCCAGGGGCTAGCACACGGTAGGCACAGCTGCTGGCCAGGGGTCAGTTCAGGGCATCCATGCAATCTTGCTTTAAATTCAAGTGGGTTTTTTGTTTGTTTTTGTTTTTTTGTTTTGTTTTGTTTTCTCTGTGTAGCTTTGCACCTTTCCTGGATCTCGCTCTGTAGACCAGGCTGGCCTTGAACTCACAGAGATTCACCTGCCTCTGCCTCCCGAGTGCTGGGATTAAAGGTGTGCGCCACCACCGCCCAGCTTTGTTTTGTTTTCTTTATTATTTATTTATAGATTTATTTCTTTTGTGTGAAGGGGCACGCACAGGCTGTGGCACACCTATGGGGGTCAGAGGACAAGTTCCAAGAGCTGGTTCTCTCCTTCCACCATGTGGGCCTCAGGGACTGACCTCAAATCACCAGGCTTGGCTGCAAGTGCTTTTATCTGTTGAGCGTTCTGCCTGGCCCTCCTTCCAGCTCTAAAATGCTGGGAATCTCCACTCTGTTCCTCTTCCTGTGTCTAGGTGGTGTACATCTCAGCACACAGCTGCAAGCCCATTTCTCAACCTTGATTTTCCCCAAACCAGGAGGAACCCTTCTTTTCCATCAAAATGCCCAGAGTGCTTCAGGTGAGAGATCGGGGTGCTCAGGCTGCCCATGGTGGTCTTTCCAGCCCAGAGATATCTCTGCAGCTGTCTGGGCCAAAACTAAATATTTATAGGGCTCTGAATATTTTTGGTCCTGTTAAACCCGGGCCTTTATCTCTGATCTGCAAGCAGCCTTCTCTGCTCCCCTTCGTCCAGACATTTCCCAGGTTCCCGTGGGCTCAAGGCTCCATCTCCTCCCAGGGCGATGAAAGCCAGTCGGCCACTAATCACTTCCAGCAGTGATAATAACCCCGCCGGTGTATAGAGTTTCTCAAAGCAGTTCATACACGTTTATCTCTCTGCTTCTCCCCCTGACCCCGCCACTTAGATTTTTATTTTGAGGCCCGTATTAGAGGGAACTTTTCAGCCACCTGCTCTGGGGGGGCTCACAGCCAGCTTGTGGGGATCCGTGGATTTGCCCTCTTGTCCTTCCCCAATGCCCACGCTAGTCCACCCCACCCGCCCCAGTTCACTGGGAGGGGACACGGGATGAGAGTGAAGTGTACAGTTTTTAAGATGACAAACTATGTTAAGCATGGACTTTTCTCTCCCTCTCTTGATGCGTACGGAAGGCTGAATTCTGATACAGAGATCCTGGATTCCTTGGAGCTTCCTGTTAGAAATGTTCTGGAAGCCGTATTTTACACGGCCTTTTAATTTTCACGAGCCAATAAATTTCTTTATGTCTCAGCCAGTTCAAGTTTCTGTTACTTACAACTGGAAGAGTCTCGATGAGAGGACACTGTGAAAGACGGCCCAGGGACAGGTGGGCAGGCTGTCAGAGTTCCCTGGGGAGGCCAGAGACTCACTGGTACTTAAGACTAGACGTTACAGACAAAGGAGAAATAAGAGGAAGTCAAATCAAAGATGGTAACTAAGTAAATAAATCCTTACATGCTGTGTGTGTGTGTGTGTGTGTGTGTGTGTGTGTGTGTGTGTGTGTGTGTGTGTGTGTACACCTCAGAGGACAACTAACTTCTGGGAGCTGGCTCTCTCCTCCCACCATGTGGGTTCCAGGGATCGAACTCAGGTCCTCAGCCTTGTTCATAGGCACCTTTTCCAACCGAGCTATCTTGCTGGCTCTCTCCTTTTTAAAAAAAAAATTTTATTTTTTTTAAGACAGGGTCTCTCACTGAACCTGGAGCTCACTGATTGGCTAGACTGACTGGCCACTGAGCCCCAGACATCTTCCTGTCTCCTCCTTCCAGCACTGGGATTACAGGTGAACACCATGCCTACCTTTTGCCTGGGAGCTGAGGATCCAAATTCAGGCCCTCAAACTTCACAGCAGCTCTTTACCCACTGCACCTACTCCACAGCCCCCAACATTTTTGATAGGAAATTAGTAAAGGGATGTTCTTTGCCCATGGTTTACTCCCAGAGGAGACTGAAATCCATTTTAGCTGAACTTTTTACTTTATAGACAAAGAAATGGAGGCTCAGAGAAAAGTCGTCTGCTAAGGCCTCAAAGCTAGCAATCGGCAAGGTTCAATCGTCATAGCAGTGGTGACTAGTTCATGATCCTGTATCATGTCTTGTAGACACCATATGGGTAGGAACAGGCAAAACACAAGGGGCCACTGTTTATCTGTGCAAATAAAGTTTTATTGAAATGCAGCCTTGTCTACTTGTTTCTGGGTTGTCTGTGGCTTCTTTTGCACTATGGGGGGGCATGTTGAAAAGTTGCTACAGGGGCCAAATGGAGACAGAAGAGGGATGACCTTTGGAGATGACCATGGCCAAGGGTTGCTGAGTTTACCTCAAAGTTTACCAGTGCTCAAACCCTGCCCCCACCTCCCTTCCTGGGAAACAGGCCTGAGACAGGTCCATCTATGACCTTGCTGGGGTGGCAGCAGTGAACACATCTGTGGTGTTTTGCAAACCAAGCACAGAAGGACACCATGTGTGTGAGGTCACAACCGGCCAAGAACAATCCCCAGTGCTGAGGACTGAGGAGAGCTTGGCAGGGACCCTGCGGTGGGGTGCGGCAGGTAGCTGCTCTGAGGGGGCACACGTTTTTGTCTGTGTAGGATGGATACCTCTCATCCTCCCAGAGGTGGCCCAGCAACCCTGACCCATGCCCTGTCCCCCTCAGGCTCAGGCATGAGCCCAACAAAGCCTAGTTTGGATGCAATTGCTTGAGAACCGAATGAAAGACCACTGGGGTTTAAGAGCTGTTGACGATGAAGAGACAGCAAACTGACCCACAGAGCATACCTGCTGAACTCTGTGCCCTCTCACCGTCTGTAAGCTCTGTGTCTGAGCTACTCCGCTCACCACAGCGTTGACATGTCTGACAAATCCAACTTAGGGGAGGAGAGGTCTATTTTGGTTCATAGTGCAGTTCAATATGTGCTGTGGGATGTACTCCGTGAATATATGTTGTTCCCGTTGGTTAGATGTAATTCTTGCTCGATAACTGTTCTATTATATGTAATTTTACTATGTTAAAGTTACAACCTTCTTTTTTTGATTAGACAAAAAAGGGGAAGTGCTGTGGGATGTCTTTCTGTGTGCTGTGAATGTGTGTTGCTATGATTGGTTAATTAAGAAGCTGCTCTGGCCTACGGTGAGTCAGGTTACAGCCAGGCAGGAAATCCGAGGAGTGAGACAGGAAAGAAGAAGGCAGGGACAGAGAGATGCCAGCCTGCTGCCAAGGGCGCAACAAGATGTTGCAGACAAGTAAATAACACCATGGCCATGTGGCAACATGTAGATTTACAGAAACGGGTTGATTTAAGATGAAAAAGCTAGCCGGCAAGCGGCTAAAGCCATAGGCCAGTTTGTAAATAATATAAGCCTCTGTGTGTTTACTTGGGTCCAAGCAGCTGCGAGACCACAGATGGGAGAGATTCCTCCCAACCGCAGGGCCCAACAAGACTGGAGAAGTTTCCAGGTACAAGTATGGTGGCAGGAACTCAAGGCAGCTGGTCGTATTGTATCCACAGTGAGGCCACAGGGAGATGCATGCTGCTGTTTCATTTGCTTTCTCCTTTTTTCTTCAGTCTGATTCTGTAGCCCTTGGGATAGGCTCCTGAAATTCAGGGTGGGGCTCCCCCTCAGTCAAACCTTTCTAGAAACATACATTCAGAGATATATGCCTGTGGTGTGCCCTTCTGGGTGACTCTGAATCCAGTCAAGTCAACAAAGACAACCAGCCATCACACCCACAAAAAAAAAAAAAAAACCAAACAAACAACAACAACAACAATAACCCAGACTGCCCACAAGCATCCACTCTGCGAAGACAGAAGCCTCAGCCAAGGTAGGTGGGCCACCAAGACAGGAGTGGGAGCTGGATGCTGCAGGCCACAGAAACGTGAAGCAGGAATTCAGCTGACTATAACAAAAGAGGGTGGAGAGCGGAATGAAGACGAAGAGGAGAATGAGATAAGAATTTAGAACTATGAGAGGACAGGGGAAGGGACAGAGAGGAGCTAAGTATGAGAACAGAACTGAAGCTGTGCGGATAGAGTTTTGTCTTAGAAGAGTAAAGTGAACGGACTAAAGAGTTTTGTGTAAGTAAATTCATTTGATATCCCTCAGATTAGTGTTCCCCACCACTCCAGCATCTTCCCCAGGACTCTGGGAGAAATCTCCCCGGGGAAGGCACCTGAGGGAAATTCCATACCTGGAGACACTGGAGCTCCTGGGCAAGTATGTTCTTGTCTTCACTGGGAGGGGGCAGTGAAACCTTAATTTTGCCAAGCTGCGGCTCCCCCACCTTCTCTGAATGGATTGTCAGTTTGGGAATTTTTGCAGTGTCAGGGTTGGTTGGAAGGCTTTGGGTAGGGTGCTCAGGGAGAGTTCCCTGCTGTCTGTAGTAATATTTGGTTTTGTTGTTACTGTTTTTTTGGTTTTGGTTTTTTATGTTTGAAACAGAGTCCTGTATTCTTGGCTGTCCTAGAACTATGTAGACCAGGCTGGCCTCAAACTCACAGAGATCTATCTGTCTCTGCCTCCCCAGTGCTGGGGTTAAAGGCTTTCACCACCCCACCCTGCCTTGTCTGCAGTTCTGGTCCTTGATTGCTGTTCTGCGGTGGCTGTGAAGGGCCTACACCCCACAGCAGAGCATCCACAATGCAGGGTCTCTCTGCAGGATCCTCGGAACCAAGTATTCAAATATACAAGCCCGTGGGGACATTCTCATTTAAACCACCATACCGGGGGATCGCCAGGCTCATCCCAGGGGTGGGCAGGGGACGTCTGTAAGGTCCAGGTGTTTTGACTTGGGCCACACACCTGTGCTTACAGCCGCCTGTCCCCCGGTGTCTGTCTGCCTCTTCATGATCTCCATGAAGTAGGCACAACCTCTGCCCTGGGACTCTGCAGCACAGCCCAGTTACCCGTCTTCTTCCGGCCACCAGCCCACTGCAGGCCGCCATCATTCCTTCCTTCTCATCATTCTGGGGAAACAGATTGAAGGAGGAAAATGTATTTGGTCACATGACTTCAGCCCACGGAGCGAGGGTGAGACGGAACAAGACTGCTCACCTCGTGGTGGCCAGGAAGCAGAGAGAAGCGGGCCTCGGGGGCAAGGCCTGTCTTTCCAGGGCTCACCCTGGTGATCTACTTTCTCCAACAAGGCTCCACCTCCTTTCAGTTGTAAAGCCATCAGGGGATTGATTGGTCTAGGGATGAAGGCAGAGCCCTCGTGAGTCAGTCACCTCTCAGTAGTGACACCAGCTGGAGACAGAACCTTCAACACCCAAGTCTGTCTGTCTTCACATCTAATCTACGACACCTTAATATGCCTGATCCTGATAGTGGCTTCCTAACTGCTCATTCTAACCCACCCTCCCCTCCACCTCGCCCTCTGCCAGTTGGCACTAGGCAGCCATAGTGATGTTTTAAAATGCCGAGTCGGCGATGTCGCACCTCTGCTCCCTTGCACCCTGTCTACCTCCATCTCCCTTCAGACAATGGAATACTCAGGTCCTTTTCTTTTCACACAGGGAGTGTAGGTGCGTTTATGGAGATTATTACTACAAAATGATCGGGCTAATGACATTTTTTTTTAAAGGTGAAACGTCATGAGAGTGTTTGGCATGACCTTGGGCCATGTCTGGAATCTTCCACTGTCCCCACTGAGAGGCCCAAGAGCCCATGACCAACAGGGTAGGATTTGTGCCTCCCCTCTGCCCTCACTTAAGAATCTTCATTGGAAAATAAACACTGTTAATATACAAGAAACCCCATCTCAGAGCCTAGTCAAAACGTCTCTGGGAGGGACTGATCGGATCCTAATGGACTCCAGATGTCCTGATCCTCCACTGGGGGTGACCTGAGGAGGAGATGAGGGGCAGGTTTGTAGCCCAAAGAAGCATCTTTTCTAGCCCCTTTTGGGGGCCTCTGCCTGCTCATCAGGCTTGGCTCATGGCCTCTGCACTCCGTACCACGGAGCACAGTTATCCAAACCAAGGAAGTGTACCCAGTGACACCCTTCTGTCTGGAGTCAGAACTGAAACACCTCCATGGCTCAGGGGTGAGCCAAGCAAGGCATATGGAGGAGCTGTGGGCCACGTGAAGGTCTCAGGGTGGGGGACGAGCTTGTGCAGGGGCAATGTAGAGATCAGAGGGAGTGCCAGGTTGGCTTGGAAAAGCAAGTTCTTGGGCTTTAAAGCAGGATCAGAGGCCTGACTCTGAAGATCACTATTTATAATCTGTTTCCTAAACA